GCTACCACGCCCGGCTGATTTTTTGATTTATTGTAGAGATGAGGTCTCGCTGCCCAGGCGGGTCTCGAACCCGCGGGCTCAGGCAATCCACTCACCTCAGCCTCCCAAAGGCACGGGATTACAGGCTGAACCACCGAGCCCGGCACCAGTGCTATTAACTGAGAGAGAATACATGAGTAAGTCGGTTTGGGCATGGGGATAGAGGACAAGTTCAGTTTCTCAAAAGCCAACTGGACATCTAAGTAAAATTTGGGTATTCCAACAAGAACATTTTTTAAAAGTCTGGATAGAGAGATAGACTTGGGAACTGTCCACTTGCAAACTTATTCTGCAGATGTGGTCACATCTATAGAATAGGCTTTGCCTATTCTTGGGGAAACATACACCAAGGAGACAAAGTTGTAGCCTGCAGACATCTTATGGCCACCAGATGTCTTTTGTTTGGTCCAAAACAAAAGTTTAATATTTGAATTAGTGATTAATGTCTAAAATTTGGGAGATTTCATGTAAATATCTCTGTATCAATTTCTCTTTGAAAAGGAGAGAATCCTATATCACCGGGGCAGCATTCCTGATTGGCAAAAGTCCACAGAGCTGATTAGGGACCATGAGCTCCCTGTCTGATCCCTGCCTTCCTCTCCTCCATGAGTTTCACTCCTTTGTGTTAACTGCCTGGCTGCTGTATGCTTTTGGGTTTAAAGCCACTGATGTAGCATAAAAAGACCATGGAAAGTGAAAGGATACACCGAGAGTGGGAAATGCATTTTTTAATCTTCTTCCTAAACCTTAATACAATGATGAGAAAGTAGATGCTATGTTTCTGGAGAAATGCACACTTTAGGTGAAATTAACTTTGCCGACTTTGTCTTTTCAGACTTCCTGGTGCCAGGTAACAGAGGTATTTCATAGCGGCAATCAAGCTTGTCTAGAGTAAAGGGAATTTACAAGGCCTAAGACATGATGCATTGGGCAAGGATTGTAAAAGCCATGAAACTTGTAATTACAAAAGTTATGACTGCTCAGAGGGGGAGCAGATGGGGATTCAATCTTCCAGTAAATCTGGCGCTATCTTACACTGAAGTCAAGGATCCCCCGAAGCTACCCACTGGGAATGCCTAGGAGATAAGGGGAAGTGCACCCTCCATTAGCTCTAAGGAATGTTGTTCGAGAAGGTGCAGGAGCATTAGAATCCTTGTCACGCCCTTCTCTAGGGGCTTTGATAATATGGACAGACATTGACGGGTCTCTGTGTCACAGGTTCTCCAGGACATCCACAGGTGGTCAATAAGGAAGTCATGGCAGTCACGTCTACCTGATTGCAACATCTCCAAGGAAAATGATTTAAGACAGGGCTTTGGGGGGTTACGGCACCACACTCACCTAGAGTGTACACCCGCTCCCTGTCTGTGGGGGTGAACTTTTCTTAAATAAATCTTTTCTTCTTTCACCTCTGTGTGCTGCAATTCTTTGCATTTACTCGGATCTCTGGCTTGCCAGCTCTGGTGGTGCTGTGCCTCCCCTCCCCTTTCTCTCCTCTCCATCCATCCACCCTCACCCTATCTGGACCCTAACAGAAAGAGTCAAGGAAAACAAAAAGGAAAAAAGGAAAAGGAGGCCAGTGGTGGAAGCTGAGGAGAGATGGTCAGAGAGGCAAGAGGAGAACCTAGAAGGTTTGGTAACAAAGACGCAAAGGAATCAGGCTTGAAAGAAGGAACACAACTTGTTTTAGCTTTATTATCTAACTATTTGTTTAGGCCCCAAATTGAGGAGTCATTTTTGACACCTTTCTTTTCCTTATCACCCTTATCTAACCCATCTCCAAGTCTGTCACATCTACCTCAAAACTATTCCTTAAATGTGTCCATTTCTCTCCATCGTTTCTTACCTGAAAGTAACTCTTCTCTTTGTATCCTTTTTTTTTTTTTTTTAAAGAGTCTTGCTCTGTCACCCAACCTGGAGGGCAGTGGCATAATTATGACTCACTGCAGCCTCGAACTCCTCAAGCAATCCTCCTCCCTCAGTCTTCCAGGTATCTAAGACTATAGGCACGCAAACCCACTAGGCCAACTTTTTTTTGTTGTTGTTGTAGAACTGAGGTCTTGCTATGTTTCCCAGGCTGGTCTTGAACTGAGTTGAAGCAATCCTCCCGCCTCAGCTTCCCAAAGTGCTGGAATTACAGGCATTAGCATGGCACCCTGCCTCTTTGCATCACTGTTCCCCAAAGTTCCTTGTATACAGCAGCCAGCAGGGTGATCTTATAAAACAAGTCCTGTCACTCATGTGTTTAAAACTCTTCACAGGCTTCACATTACTCCTGAAATGAAATCCATACTCCTCTCAATGGTCAAGAAAGGCTGTGCATGATGGTGGCTCTCCTTGCCTTGTTGTCTTCTCCTCTGTTCTTTCCCTCGCCTACTTTCTTACTTTCTTCAGGGCACCACATTCTGCCACAGGTAGATCCTTCTCTTGGCGGTTCTTTTCCCAGATCTTCACCGAGCTGGCTTCTTCTCATTTCAATGAACCTCTTTGGAAGGCGCTTTCTTGACATCCCAAACTAAAGGGTCACTTGCTTTCCCTTAGTTTTTTAGCAACTTGTCCTTTTCCTTCCACACACTTATCTCTACGAATGCATATATATATTTATTGTTACTCGATGTTTGCTTTCTCAACTAGAGAATAATCTCCATGAGGGTAGGCACAGCGTCGGTCTCGTTTATCGCTTTTCCCCTAGATTCTGTAACAGTGCTTCCCTGCGCAGTAGGACCTTGATACACCGTGGTGGGATGAATATGTGAACAATAGGCCTATGAAGCAGATGCAGCAGACTAAGAAATTAAAAACGCACATTTGCATTTCAGTGACATTTTTTCCTCAAGCGCCCAAGAGCTCGTGCCATTAAGAGTGCCCGAGCGGCTCGGGCCGTCTTCTGCGCCTGCGCAGACCTACCTGGGGGCGGTCCGGCCCGCTCCCCCAAGGGGGCGGGCTCGGAGGAAGGCGGGGCCAGGCGGGCTGCGACCCGGGCGCGCGGAGATGACGCCACTCGGCGCGTGCCCGGTAGCCTGTAGTAACCCCGGGTCTGCGGAAGTGGAGACCGGTGGGCAGGCTGCTGAGACAGGTAACCTGTGCGCTCCCCGGCGGGTCTCTGCCTTCCTCTCCGGCGCCGCGATGGCGGCGGGGACGGCAGCATCCCGTTTTGAAGGCGACCGGGAGCCTACCCCTGCCCTCGTCTTTGCTCGATCAGCGGGGTCCCCCCTTCCCTCCCCAGTTCTCCCAGACTCCGGGGGACTTCAGCTGGCTAGTGGCCGTGAGCTCTGGCTCTCCTCTGCCCGGTGGCCCAGACCCTGTGTTCCCTCCAGGCCCTCCTCTCCCGCCCTTCTGGGCTCCTAGCCCCGCAGGACCCCTCTCCAGTCTTAAGTAGTCAGAACAGCTTCCGATTCTGTTCCTTTCCACTTGCAGTGAAACCCACCCGCCTACTTTCCCCCGGAGGACCCTTACGGAGAGCGCCAGGTTCTGAGTTTTGGCGTCCCTAAAGAACATTGTTCTCTGGTAGTCTGGAGTTCTGCCCATGAACGCACGTATCGGGCTGGGGGTGGGGGGTGGCACAGCAATGTGAGCATCTGTTGGGATAATAAATAATCCACATGGGATCCGATCAACGGCTGAGATGTTGATGGCATTTCATTAAAAGGCACCTTGCCTTTGGATTTCTTTTTGGTTTTCGAGCAGTGATGACAATTACCATTGCAAAGGTGGCCCTCGAGATAACAGAAGCGCTAGGAATATTTAGATGCAAAAAATAACACTAGGGTTTATGTGACTGCATAGAGAAGTGATGTGGATTATTACAAAACCGAGCAGAATAGCTGCTGAGTATATGGGATGAGAAGCAGAATTCTGAAATCTTTGAGCTCATTGATGGTTTGGTTTTGTATTTTTCTGTACTCTTAGTCAGTTCCATTTTTGAATAGAGTACATTGATTGTCCGTCATATAATTCTGGGAAGCCTATCAATGACTTGCTAATTGGGAAGACTGGCTTACTCCAATATTTGGGGGGCAAAGTAGAATAAGGTTGGGGAATAATAATAGTTGCTGGTTGCTACCAGCTATATCCCAGGGACTGTGTTAACACTTTGCATGTTTTCTCTTTAGTTCACACAACAACTATATGAGTTAGGAATTATTATCCCTAATTTACAAAGGGAATTGAGTCTCAGTTAAATTGACTTGCTGGAAATTCACAGTAACTAAATGGCAGAGCCAATAATTAAATTCAGGTCTGTGTATGATGTTTTTTGGGGAGGGGAGTTGGGGAGGGGTCTCACTCTGTCCCCCAGGCTGGAGTGCAGTGGCACAACCATGGCTCACCACAGTGTCGAACTCCTGGGCTCAGATGATCCTTTCACCTCAGCTGGGTCTACGGGTACATGCCACTACACCTGACTAATTTTTTTTATTTTTGTAGAGGTTAGGTCTCACTGTGTTTCCTGGACTGGTCTCGAACTCCTGGGTGCAAGCAGTCCTCCTGCATTGGCCTCCCAAAGTGTTGGGATTACAGGCATGAGCCACTGCACTGGCCTGTTTATAACTTTAAAGCCTGTACTTTTCTTGTTTTTTTTGAAATAACTCTAATGATCAAATCTTAGGTTTCTTTATAATAGTTACACATAATTCTATGAGTGTGTTCACTCATCGGTCTAAATAATTTGACACTTTATAATATCTTTAATACTATATTAAGCTCTCATATTCCTGGAATTAAAACACCTGGAAAGTTTAATTTGTGATCTTCCTGCAAAACACACACACACACACCCATCGTTATCTTTAAGAATGAGGTAAATGGCAAGATTGTTCAGTAATCCCTTCTCTTTGGAGTCCTCAGGGAATGAGTAATTTTACAGTTGAGAGTTTTACTACTTTAGAAATGAAAATCCTATTGGCTGTTTGGGATGGAAATTTAAAAAATGTACTAAACAATTTCTTGTCTTCTTAAATACTAAGTATACTGACTAGATTTTTAACCTTTCCTAATATAGTCACGAACATCATTTATTGTCCTGTGTTGTAACATAGTGATTTCCTCAGGGCTTTTATTACATTTGGCTCCCAAACTGCTTTGCATTCTGAATTTGCTTATACTTCTTGCTGTCCATTTCTCAATAATGGACTATTAGAAATAGTAAAGCAGCCGGCCTCGGTGACTCAGCCTGTAATCCCCCACCTTGGGAGGCTGAGGTGAGTGGATTGCCTGAGCCCGCGGGTTTGAGACCCACCTGGGCAACTTGGTGAGACCTCATCTCTACAATAAATCAAAAAATTAGCTGGGCGTGGTAGCACGCATCTGTAGTTCCAGCTACTTGGAAGGCTGAGACGGATGGATCGCTGGAGCCCAGCAGGTCGAGGCTGCGGTGGCCAGGAGTGTGCCACTGCACTCCAGTCTGGGTGACAGAGTGAGACTCCAACTCAAAAAAAAAGAAAAAAAGAGTAAAGCATAGGGATTAAATCCAGGGACTGTGGAACCAGATTTCTAGGGCTTAAATCCTAGCTCTGTCACTAGCAGCACAGAGAGCCCAGGTAAGATACTAGACTCCTCTACACCTCAGTCTCCTCATTTGCAAAAGAGGGATAATAAGAATACTTAGAAGATTGTTGTGAGGAAAGAGCTTAGAACAATGACAAGCAAATTGAAAGTGCCATATTAAGTGTTTACTAATTTTATTAGTCTGGTTTTGGCTTTAGGTCTTTTTAAAATTGCATTCTACTTTGAAAATTGTTCCTGAAATGATATTTGATATATGGTAATTACCAGTTTACTTACTAGTCAGTTAAATTATCCCAACTGGAATCCTTCATCCCAAGCCATTCTGGGATTTTTTTTTTTTTTTGAGTTGGTGTCTCACTTTGTCACCCAGGCTGGAGTATAGTGGCATGATCACAGCTAACATAGTCTTGACCAGCTGGGCTCAGGCAATCCTTCTGCTGCAGTCTTCCAAGTAGTTGGGACTACAGGCATATGCCACCATGCCTGGCTAATTTTTTTAATTTACTGTAGAGATGAGGTCGTGCTTGTTGCCTAGGCTGGTCTTGAACTCCTGGGCTCAAGCAAGCCTCTCACCTTGGCTTTCCTTAGTGCTGGGTTTACAGGTGTGAGCCACTGAGCACAGCCCTGGGAAAATGTTAATTTATTAAATTTGCTTTAGTTGAGTCTTTCTAATACAATGGACATTTGCTTGGGGTTTTTGGAGTGGAGATTTTAAATATTTAACTTCATTACATTTATCAAAATAATGGACTTTCAATTTCTGTTTTGAGTTTTGGGGGCTATTTCAGTAGTTTAAATTATGGTCTACTAAAACATGGAAACCCTCTTTACTTTTGAATACCAGTTGACTTACATATCCATTCATGGTGCCCTGCACAGGTATACTATTGCACTCACGTTACCATAGTTCTATGTGGATAAGTACATCTTTATAAAAACCAAACCATCACTAGGCATTGACCAGACATAAACATATTTCCTCAGTGTAGTTCCTTTTCTCTTTCTTTCTTTTGTCAAAGTGTTAAGTAAATTGACTGTACCAGAAAAGTGAAATAATGTTCCTTATGACATTTGCAAGGTATGGTACCCATTTTCAGATGTGTGTTTTAAACCAAGACCAGCTAAGCTGGTGTCCATAGTCAGAAACTTGAGAATAAGTAGTCCTTTATTTTGATACCATTGATGCTGATACTTATTTTATAACTTCCTGTTGAAAATCTATTCTGTACTTTTTACCTAATTATTGTAGTAAAATATGTGCAGCAAAATTTTCTGTTTTAACTATTTTTGAGTGTGCGTTTCAGTGGCATTAAATACATCCACAATGTTTTGTAATTGTCATTATTTACAGAACTTTTTTCATCATCCTATACAGAAGCTCCTTGCCCCATTAAACAATAAAATTTCCATTTCCCTCTCCCCAGCTTCTGGTAACCGCAGTTCTGCTTTCTGTCTCTATGAATTTGCCTATTCTAGGTACTTCATGTAGGTGGATTAGTACAGTATTTGTCTTTTTGTGACTGGCGTGTTTTACTTAGCATGATGGTTTGTCCATGATGTAGCATGTGTTAGAATTTCATTCCTCTTGAAGACTGGATACTATTCCATTGTACGGCTATACTATATTGTATACTTTAGATGCGTACTGAATTGTGTTTCTTTATACTTTTCATTTCATATTATATGAACTCAGTACTTTGTTACCTGGTTTGACTGTGAGCTCCTGGGGGACGGGGATGAAGACGACAGCTAAACTAACATTTGTCTTTGAACGATGAACAGAATGCTTGTTGTGCATTGATAAATTGGAGCCTGAGCATACATTGTAGTGTAATTTTTCTTATTTAATATTTAGTCTAAAAATAGTAAGGAAAATAGCCGGGCTTGGTGGCTCAGCCTATAATCCCGTGCCTTTGGGAGGCTGAGGTGAGTGGATGGCCTGAGCCCACGGGTTCGAGACCCGCCTGGGCAGCGAGATCTCATCTCTACAATAAATAAAAAAAAAATAAGCCGGGTGTGGTAGCGCATGCCTGTAATCCCGCTACTCCGAAGGCTGAGGCGGAAGGATCGCCGGAGCCCAGTAGGCGAGGCTGCGGTGGCCGGGAGCGGCCACTGCACTCCAATCTGGGAGACAGAGTGAGACTCCGATTCAAAAAAAAAAAAGTAAGGAAAATAACCTTAACGATAAGATTACCTAATATTTCTGTAGTGTTTACAGTACACAAGGCATTATTCTAGGCACTTTGCCTATGAAATAGGTACTACACAGTTGAGGAAACTGAGGCACAGAGAAATTAAGCGAATTGTTAAAATTATGAGACTGGTAGGTGGTCAAATTGGGGTTTGAACTCAGGCTATCTGGCCCCAGAGTTAATTTGTCCTTAGGTTTTGACAGTATCTACTTTGCAGTATACATTGTTTTGCCTGCCACACTCTTCCTCTACCTTCTCTCTTTCTATTAATACTCTCTTTAAAACTGAAAATTACTTCTGAAATTGAAAGAGCAACTGAATCCAAACTGAAAAAGGGAACAGGTGCCTCTCATTTGATTGGAGTGACATTTAAATAGAA